GGTGCTGCGTCTGCTGCAGATCGGTCCCATCCGAGGCTGCCTCTCAAATGAGATAAATACCGCTTTTCACCTGCTTGTGCGAGTGCAGAGGGATATTCATCCTTATCGTGTGCTTAGGTTTTGTCTTATTTTTATGTTTTTTTCTGTTGCGCTTGCAAGTGTCCGCAGTTGAAATGCACATTACGTCGGTCAGACAGACACCGTAGGGCTCTGGTTTAAACAGCCCCCGCCCGCGTCAGCCTTAGGAGAGCCTAGCAGGGCAGGCAGGAGCTCATGCGGTTCGTGTGAGGCGCTGCTGAGATGCGGAGAGCCCTTAGGGAAGCCAGGCATCTTCCTCCTGAGGAAGAGGTACAGAAAATGGCTCATCTTTTTGTCTTCCTTAAGAGGAAGCAGCAAAGAGGACTGCCATCGTGCAAGCTCCTGTTGTGAGTAAGCAGCCCACACAGGAACAACGCTTCCAGTGCGAACCTAATTACGGGCTTGTCAGGAGTGACGGTGGCCTTTAAAAATGCAGAGTTAATTAAAAAAAAGTAGACAGCTGTGGCAGCTGCCTGGCCAAGTTGAACTGTTTGTGTTGACTTTCTTATTGTTTAGTAGTGCTTAAAAATGAAGCTCGACGTGTGGTGTTGAGGGTTTTTTTCATTTGTTTTTTGTGCGTGGCTTTTTTTTTTTTTGATGGTAGTATGCTGCAGTAAATGCTGACAATATAAGGAAACTTATACAGAGTAGAGGTTGACACTTTTTTTAAGATAAATTTTGGAGAAAGTGTTGATGTGGATTAGATTCTATTAGTAATGTTTTGAAAAGAATCAGAATTCCAGAAACAATTACATTTACTATTCAAAAAGATCTATAGGTATTTATGGGGGTAAGCTGATGTAAGATGCTTTTGAGGGCTATGATTCCTACTCTGATACCCTTCAAAAAAGTGTGATGCCTTAAAAAAAAGTTGCAATCTTGATTTATCCTTTTCTTCTGATGTTAAGAGAAAGGTGTTCCTGAGCTACATTGAGGGAACTTATCTGTAAGAGGAAGCCTAGGAGAAGATTTTTTTTTTTTTTAATTAATATATTTAAAATTAAAAAAAGTGTTAGAGAATGGATCTGCTCAGGATGGGCCAAGATAGTGAGACTTGATGTTTGCTCTATTGCTGATTATTCTTTCCTGTCTCACTTGAAAAAGGTTGGAGTCCATTGAAATTTGATTACTTAGCCAATATAGCATTCTTAGTTTGAAGATTTGCAGTTGGCAGAATGTTTATTTTGATGGTAATTGAAAAAAACATTTTCAAGAATGAGAACTTAATAAGTTCTTCTGAAGAAATCACCCTGGATAAACAGTAACTAAAAAGATTTTCGCAACTGGTTTAAAAAGTAATAATTCATACAGATCATATGTCATAAGGAAATAGTAAATGCTTTTAGGATAACTTCATAGGAAGGATATAGGGAATAAATTAAGATACTCAGATTTAAAAGTCAGTAGCATGTGAGTACTAGGCTTTATTGTGCCATGTCATATTTTGCTGCAGTCACCTTTCTTCTTATTTGTAAGTTATTTCAGAAGGACATACTCTGCCTCTCTCTGTTTTAACTTGTGAAGGAGTTAATTATGATACGTATGTGATGGGTATTGGAGAATGAGATGTGACAAAAGTTGCAGAATATATTCTTGAAATATGGTAGAGGCACTCAAGTGTGTTACCAGCTGTTTGTCAGCCAGTCTCAACTCTTCCAGAATCTCTAGTGTTTGTAATATGTCACTGAACATAAACGTTTTACTCCACAGGTGATAGATACCGTTAAGATCAGTAGCATAATTGCTGAACCTAACTTAATATATTAACATAATATATGCACCTTCACCTAAAAGCAGGTCGTATCAAGTAGTCTCCCTTCAGAGTTAGAAGATACTAATTCGGGGCTGGATGATGCATTTTTTAACAGTGCTTGGTTCAGGAACTCTAATTGGGAAAGCTGCATGACCCTGTAAGGAAAGCATAGCTGTAATGGTAATCACACAATAGATCTTGTGTTTGAACATGACAAAGTTGATAGATGCTAATATTATTATTGATTATTTTTTGTTTATCTATTACTGGGGTGATATGTAAGTCTCTGTTAATTTTGAATGTGCTTCCCTGGACTCTGGATTTACTGTGTGGTAGGGGAAAGCAGTAGTTTCGTGCTAGAAAAATCTCCTTGTCTAGCTTTTAGTTTGTTAAAATAGTTAAAGAAAATGAATAGTCTTACTGATCAGCATTAGATATTTTGGAAACATCATGCAGCAGAATATGAAATTTTGAGAATTCAAACATTTCAGTAGTTTCACATGTCACACACTGAGAAATTAATCTGTTCTTAGCATTGTGGTTTTTCCTGTGTTGTCCTAGATCTTGCTTCACTAGTTTGCACTTAACGTAGTAGGGAGACAAAAATTTATTTTGGTGCTAAGCAGGATGGTTTGCACGGTGTAATAATATGCCACTGTTTACATATCTTTTCAGATGTTTCCAATGGAACTGTGACCTTTCTGCCTTTGGAGGAAAACAGTGAAGGAAAATACCAGATTAAAAAGTGCAATATTTATCAAATTCAACTTACACACGTAACAGATGGGGAATGGTAAGTGCTGGAAGTGAGAGAGGAATCAAACCCTGAATTATTGTAAGGATCTCACCATGTTTTGCTGTTGGTATCTAGGCAATTTGGTTTGTGTAATTTCCTGCTTGATTAGTAAATGAGAGCAGTGGTGTGATCTTAGTGCATAGTCTTCAGTTAGAAGAAACATCTATGATACTCAAAATGACACAAACCAAATCTGTTTCAAATTTGAATGTATGCATTGACTGTAGGTGTGTGTGATCTAGAAAAAGTCTGCATATTCTGATCATGAGGAACTGGCTGTGGCTGTGAGAGACGTCAGGTTCTGTGGGCGTTAATGAGGTTCAGGGTTAAACTGGAATTGCTGTGAACCTACTGAGCTTCAGTCACTGAAACGTAAACCATTGCAGCTTGGTCCTGAGCATCTGAGGGCCCAACTCTAATAAAGTTAGAGATGATGAAATAATGAAATGTGCTAACTCATATACTTCCCTTCTAAATTTTCCTGTTGTTTTAATGAATTTTGTGAATTCACTTTTACTAGTTAGTGTTTGGGTATCGTGCTAAATCAGGCTGTTCATCATATGCAAGTCCTCAGTCATTCTGTTAAATGCAGCATGGACTCTCGTGTACAGTGTTTGAATTGGCAGCTAAGTGACAGCTGTCTAACAGCATTCAGGGAAGACTGTTCCATTATTCAGTAACTTCACTGTTTTATTTCCCTTTTGTTTTTGAGTATAACATGTTTCCTTTTCCTGCAGTCTACTTTTACACCTCTGATCTGCTGATTTTTTCCACTTAATCATTCTCCTCTCTTTTTTGAGGTAGCTGAGATTATGAAATACACTGTATTTATACAAAGTTCTTATTTTATTTTTAAAGGTCTGTGTCTGTTGTAGCTCCATTTCCGGAAGACTGGTTTTCAGATGGAATTACATACCCCAAACTAGCATGGCTTGGAAATGAACTTTTGTACAAACTGGCTAAATGGTCTGTGGAGCAAAAGCCCAGTGAGTTTAAAAGTACTCTCTCACTCATTTCTGTAGCAAAATACAGCAAAGTTTATCAAGACCTTAAAGAAAAATACAAAGAGATGGTAAAGGTAAGTTTGGCAATAAATGCAGTAATAAGTGCTTTCCTAGAATTGTTTTTGTTGTTGTTTGTTTAGTGAAACTGCTTCTTTCACTGAATTCTCTTTTTAATAAAAGAATCAATTTAGTTGAAATGTGGATTTTATGTTTTTGTGTTTTGGGGTTTTTTTTCTGTGTATGGGGGAAACAAACAATTTAGTATTTGGAAGAACTGAACTAGAAAAGCAAGATTCAGAGCCAAATTCACACTGAATATCCGGAGGAGTTAAATACTTTCCAGAATGTTTCCCTTCAAGTAAGAAGTAAGCAGTAGGTCAGTGGATGTAAATACTAAGTCATCCTCACTAGAAGGCATAAATAAAGTACAAGTACCACCTTCTCCAAAACCTGAAAGAGTCTGGAAACAGCACTGCTTAGTGAGCAGGTTAAGTTTCCTATTACTCTTTTTAAATGTAGATGCTATATTAATGCATCTTTCTGAGTCAGAGGAGTAATGTTGTAGTATTGTTTTATCCTGGGGATCCCAAATGTTGAACATTCAGGATCATTTCAACATCAAAATGTTGAAAGGTTTAAATGTTAAACTTTGTGTACTAATAGAAATATATATATATATTAGAAGAAAATTGGACTTGTGAGTAAGGTAACGGTTCAGTCTTTAGCTCTGCAGTAGACTTAGTGTAGTGTTGAGCATTTTGATTTTTGTTTCAATTCCTCATTTACAGCATAGGGATAATACTTTCACTTTCTGTCTTCCTACTTCAAGTTTTGATTCTTTGTGTTCTGTTGTGCCAGGATAATTCTATCCCTGTTATGTTGTGAAAATAAATTTACAAATGCTTACTTTACCAATATTACACATAACAGGAATAGTATAAGTATTTTTCTTCACAGATTGTTAAGCAAAACGATGCGTGTATATTACACAACAGATGCAGCACTTTAGTTGTGAGCTGCACATATGGAGCCATAATGTTCTTGGAAGCTTTATTGATTGGATGACAGCAGACATTCTTTACACCGTTATTCTTTTGTGTGATTCACAAAATCAAACTCTTTATTTATTACATTCTTTGTGTATATTTTTAAAGAGGTTAAAATGTGAAATTCCTGAAGTGCAGAAAACTATTGAAGTGGGTGAGTATCCAGATCGCTCTAACTGGGCACTTTTTGAAGTAATTTCAGATGATGTAGAAAATATTTTTTTCTCTGTTTTTTCTGGAGGTGTGGCCTGAAGTAACAGATCCTGATAAATTTGTCTATGAAGATGTTGCTATTGCCACTTACTTGCTGGTAAGGTATTGCTTTGCCTAATAATATTCTGTAAGATTCTATTTCCTAATAATAGAACCTCTCTAAAGAAAATCAGTATTTTTATTTTATAGTTGTTGCATTCTTTAAAATAGAATGACCAGAAGTTACTGCAGGCGTACAAGACAAAAGGAAGGGGGTAGGAGAAACGGTGTGAATTTTTGGGGTTTTAGGCTGGGTTTTGTGGGTTGGTTGTTTTGGGGGTTTTTTTTGGATGGTTTGGGGGTTTTTTTGTTGTTGTTTTTGTTCTCACTGAAGCAGACACACAAAGTTCTTATTACAATATTTTCAAGTGTAACTTAAACTGAAAGTGGAATTCACGTCTATAACTCTGTTGGAGTTGTGTTTGTATTCTGATCTTTGGCAGTACTCTCAACAGCATTTCGGGGATTTACATATAATAAGTGATTACAGAAGGTAGGCATTTCATAACAGAATTAGGGAAAAAAAGTTAACATGACAAACCAAAGGGAAGATCAGTTGACTTGTATTTTATACTGCCCTATACCACAAAAATCAACACAATAACAATAAAATTTAGTTTAGAGGATTACTAAAACTTCTTTGTGAAGATACGATAAATATTTGCAGTCTTCTCTCTGGCCTTAAGGAGGTTTATAACTTACACAGACCAGATTTTATTTTTTTTTAAGTGATAAAGCAAAAAGCACTGATGTGGCAGAAAAATAGTGATTAGATGAACTGATTTGGAGATTAGAAGCTATTGTTTTATACATATTTCTATGACTTGTTAATTTTATGCTGAAGGTTTTTCACTGTTTTGTCTTTCCCTGATAAAAATTCAGCTCAAATCCCATCCTCAAATGCACTAAGGCCAACTGTAGATGCTAGGAATGCTGATAAATGCTTGGAGCAATTTTCTGAGACCCTTACCTGTTTAAGAATCTATGAAAATTCTGCCACTTACAGTCACTGGAAACTTCTGATTTTTAAACAGCATCAAAATTTGTTACTATGTAGGCAAATAAATATTTTTTGACTGCTACCCAGAGTGCAGTAAGAGTATGTCTACCTTGAAGTGTAGTGTAGGTGCTTCTTGCATCTTCTGTAAATTTTATTTGTAATAAGTTATCTTGTTTACAGAACTTGTTGAGGACTAATTTATTTTGATAATTGGCTATTTAAACTTAAAACCTCAGGTTCTTTTCCCATGGAGATTTTTAAATTTGTCTGAGGAAGCCTAGCTACTTGGTTGCCACATTGGTGCAACAGAACTTTTTACATCAGAGAAATGGTCATAATGAAGTGGTCAGACAGTTGCACTAGATGTTCATTCCAACTGAACTATTCTAATCTATGATACTGGTTTGTGGAAAGAGCTATATAATAGACTTATCTTTTACCATTTTTACCACCATGATAATATTTGATGTTGAAAATTAGTTGTAGCCACAAGAAAATTCTGTAATGACGCTCTTGAAAATGTTTTGCAAATCTGTATGCACGAGTGTTAGTTTACAGTGATAATGTGTTTTAGCTGATGCAGCAGTATCTTTCAAAAAATTAAAGTAACCCAATAACTGACTTATATAAATGTAAGCTTAAAGTATAGTATTAATAACCTAACCTCCTTGGAAAATTTTCAGGTATCTATATGATGGTATATGGTAACTAATTGTTTAGAAGTACATTAAATGGGTGGTTAAGAGAAAGTAAGGTCCAGTGTTAAATTTTTTATAGATTTATGGCATCTGCATCTGACCTCATTTTACTCAGCAGTCGCATTAAGGTTGCCTGCTGTCTAGGCACATGCCCAAAGGAGCAGCTATTCAGTTTGCATCGTGAGAAACTCAGCAGGGGATGGGAGATAGGTGTGATCTGTGTAGGAGATGATTAGGGATTTCTGGGATACAGCCTAGAATACAAAAGTGCAATGATTGGTACATTAAAAAATTTAAACACAGCCTGATAATCTCATGAGTTATTTGCTGCTTCTTTCCCTCTAGCAAAACTGATTTGTTACAAATACTAATTTTTGTCATTAGATACTCTTGGTTATTTTTTTAGTCATAGTAAAAAATAAGTGTGCAGAGTTGATGAATGTGTGCTCTGTAGCTTCTCTTTGAAGGAAAAAGATTTTGACAGTTATAGAAAGAGACTAATCCATGCCCTGTGGACAAACATCCAATTATTAACTAATTATGAATTACATAACTGTGTAAAAATAACTACTTATGTACAAAGCAGGGACTAGAATTGGGCTAAAAGCTTTGGAGTCCTGTTAGCTGATGTAGAATTTGGGGCAGCTGACTGTTGCTAGGGAAGTTACACTTTTTTCAGTAGAAAATGATGTTACATGTACAAATATATGGCCAACTGATTACAAAGAACATTTTGGTTTTTATTTTTGGCTCTACCACAAATTCTTTCTTTAATACAGTGGATATAAATGCTTCAGTGGGGTCACTTGCAGAGACACTGTTGACATTTACTTGCTACTTACCTTGCTTCCTCTGGTCGTCTCTTGCACTCTTTATTTTAGCAGCTATTTTAAATTTATGCTCACTCTAGCCCAGGGTTGTATAGCCTTGATTAATTTTAACTTCCAGTGACACAGAAGGGAATGGAGGATTTGCTTAAACAGTTTTAGTGGGTTTTGTTTGTTTGTTTTTGTTTGTTTGTTTGAGTTTTTTTTTTTTCTCCTCTGAAGTTTTCTCTGTGAGTACAGGGGATGTCTTCTGTCACATCTGCATTCTCTCCTAGCTTTCTCCTTTAATTTCCAATAACATTTGCTGCCAGGTAAACTTGAGAGCAGAAGTCTAAAATGTTTTCTTTTCTTGTCTTAGATTCTTTGGGAAGAAGAGAGAAAGGAAAAAGGGTTGACCAAGAAACAGACATTTGTAGATCTTGGATGTGGAAATGGTCTACTGGTTCATATTCTAAACAATGAAGGGGTAAATAGAGTGCTTTTTAAAATAATAATTAAAAAATAGAGATGGCTAATATTCTTGTTACGCTTTCTTTTAATTTGGTATGCAAATAGCCAAAATTCAGTTAATTCATGTTGCTAAAATAGAATTTTGTCACTCTAGTTACCAGGGAAAAATCCTAGCAGAGCTTTAGAAAGGTTTATCTTATTAATTTATTTTTGTTAGTGCAGTTCATTTCAATTCATGGCTATCTTTCTGAGCTAAGAAACTAAAAGGGAAGAGAGAAAGTAATGGCATAATTTAGTTATGCTGTAGACAAAGCAAAAAGGAATGGGGAATCTTAAATGAGATTCTCTTTCAAAAGAGTCTTTAAATGAGATGTTTTTCATAAACTTAAAGCTGAATTCTACTTGTCATGTCCTGAAAATGTTTTTTCTGTATCTTTAAAAACAATCCTGGACATTGTTAATTGTGAAAATGCCTAACAACATACTGTGCTTTTGTGAATGAAAATGTGGCAACAGCAAAATTCAGTTTCTTGAGGCATAGTTTCTGAAACAACAACAAAAAAGGTTGGTGAGATTGAACAAAACCAAATGAAGTTGGGTCTGTCTGTTTCAGCAAATTGTATTTTCTGCTTTTTGGAGAACATGGTAAAAATTTGTAGAGGAGATTAGTAGTGGGAAAAAGTCCAGGTTCTCCTAACATGAGCTCTCTATCCTTATGTGGCCAGAAAAATTGATCTAATGCAAGGTGCTATTTTCTCTGTAGACATTTATTTTCATACATCATTAGGTCATCACTGCTGTAGTACTGACATTGTTGACTGTCAAAAAATTGTATATGTGAGTTTTATGAGACTTTTTTAGTAATTGATTTTGATTAGTTCTGCACAGGGTTCTTGAAGTTCAAATACTATTACTTATGCATTCTTTATTTCTTGTTTTAGTTTCCAGTCCTATTTCTTCTTCCCATCAGTTCACACAGGGAAAAGTGTGTTTAGACTCCAGCAGCCTCATTGACCTCAGTAGCTGAAATATGGTTCTCCAGCAAGGACTGCTTAGGATAGCACTCTTCTCTGAGCCCTGTGGGTGCTACAGTAATACTTACCTTGTGAAAGGTTTTGATATTTTAAAAAACCAACCAAACAAAACCCAAAACTCTGCTTTTACTTTTGTAGAGATCTGGATCTTCAAGAGTAGTCCCAATAGGTGAACCCATGTAAAATTTCAAACCAGATATATTATTATTTTTTCCTAATCTTTCCCTTCATATTTAGAAGGGAAAGAAGGGATTAAAAGTATTCAGCTTCTGCCTGAAGTGGTGAAGCTGTGTTTCATTTTGTGTCTAAATTTTAGTATGAATGAAGTGATTAGTGTTAATATGTACATTCAGTGAGCCTGTCTGTTGGTTTCTGTTAAAAGTAGTACTTAAAAATGATAACTTTTTGTTGTTCAAATATTTCAGCATTCAGGTAGAGGAATTGATGTGAGGAGAAGGAAAATATGGGACATGTATGGACCAGAAACTCATTTAGAGGTATTATGCAAATGTATGTCAATCTTACTGATTCATAACTTTATTTTTGTTCATTGCTTCAGGTTGTGTTGATTGAAATGTAATCAAACATACTGGGTTACAGATAGTTGTCTAAAGTGATCTGTGGGTTTGATATGGTGCCACCCATATGACTTGTGGGACTGTAAAATAAGTTATAAAGGGAATTATGAGAGCAATGCTGTATCATACCCTTGCGTATTTGCTACTTACTTATTTTTCAGCTGAGAAGACTAGTGTGTTTTCCTACTGCATGTGCAGACATGCACACCATGAAACAATCTTTCATTTTACTGGAAGGTCAATATTAAGCAGCTTTGTTTGCACCACTGTACCTCATAAAAGATACTAGTATCTAAAGTTTTGAGCAGTTTATTCTTGAAAGTGATTCTGACTTTCCAGTGCTATGTGCTGGTCTGGGGATGAAATTGTTGTTGAACCTCAAAGGAGCCAATCCTCTGCTGTACTGACCTGGTGGGAAGTAATTGCAATAATAGCCTTCAAAAAATGAACAGGAAAATGAGTCTGGAAGTGGGATTCTGTTTCAAGTTCCACATCAGCATTTTTATGAGAACAGGAGCAATCTGAGCACATGAACATTCACTTTAACTCCAGCTGTTCTTGGTCTGATACAAAATGTGGTACTGAAAAACAGTTGCCCTTTGGAGATGAGGTTTTCCTGGTTTCTTGTTGTCTAGACTCCTCTAAAATTTCTTACTCTGGTCGCTCAAAAATTGTCAGCTTCCAATACATTAAAAGAATTTTCCATCTGTAGTTATTCCCTAGTAGTTTTGTTTAAAAGTTAATTAAACATACCTTTGAACATACCATGTTAACAACTTACATTAAATCAACAAAAGAGCAGCAGTTTTCACAGATGAGTGGTGGAGCTTTCAGTCTTGTGCAGCCTTCTGTGTGCCACCCTGCCATTTTGGGTACAGATTCCTTTGCTACACTCTGCAACCAGGTCTTACTGAAAGGTTTCACGAAGCAATCCACAACATCACTGTGGTGTTCCTTCATTGCTGTTGTATTATATTAACTCACCTTTAATCACAGTAAACAGCATCTTCTGTTTTCCTCATGTTACATATTCCTTTTTCTGGCTGTGTTTCTGTGTTGTGGAAATGTTTGAATTTTGTACATTCATTTCATATTTAAGGTCTGGCTGTTTACAGATTCTCAGATTTCTTGACTAAGAGAAACTTCTGAGCATCAATTGTCCCTCTCTGCAGCATGATGATACAAAACAGAAAAGGATGAGTTTTATTTGTCTTTTTTAAAATAAAAAAAAAGGAATTCACAGAGAACGCTTGAAAAAGCCAGACAGAAACAAAATATCCAAAATAAGGATTTAATAATTTATGTGGGAAGGATTTATATAAAGAACAGGAAGGGTGAAATGATTTTGCAAGAAGGAGAAAGCACCTGCTCACAGCCTTTTGTTACCCTTGGAGCTAATTTTGTTTTGATCTTTACTTAAAGCACGAGTTGCAGGATGAGTATTGCCATCTGTGACATCCAGTGCCAATACTAACAATATAAATGAATGTAACAGGTGGTACTCAGCAATGCCAAACTGCTGTCAGACATGGTGAATACAAATTTGATTATGGGTGACTGGCAAAATGCAGAATGTGACACTGGTAATTCATGCTATGCCTAGACTGAGTCATCAAAACTGAAATATAATGTAGGAGTAACTTGTTTTATCAACCATAAGAAAACACTTATCAAACACTTGGTTTAACATCTGCTAACCTGCCAAAAAGAAATTTGTTACATATATTGTCTAGAAATGCATATACACTACTAAAAATGGTCAGAGGTGTAGTATTTAAAGTGAACGATAATACACCGTACTGATACTTAAAACACCTAACACAGTGCTGCCTGAAGAGGGGAATTGGAATGTAATGGAGATAGTCTGAGACTTCTGAAATTCCCTATTAAGTCTTGTTGTGTTTTGGGGTTTGTTTTTTTTTTTTTAATTCCTATACAGATACTATTTTGCATGTGACTTTTGAGCTCATAAAACATGCATTTTGTATGTAAAATGAGAGTATGTTCATCATTTTCAAGGCTTTTCCTAAAGATCTTTGGAGATTCAAATTTAAAACTTTTTTTCTGATCTGCCCAGTAGTTTCTTTGAGGTTCATACACATTTTTAGAGAAGAGCATGTACTTCTGTAGTATCAACATGAAGTACTTTCTTTGCTGAACTTAGTTCTAGGTAAGAAAATGTGTATATGAGAAAGACAAACATTAAAGACACTCTAGAACTTATAAAATTGAACCTATATGAAGAACTCATTGTGTTTGGTGGTTGGTTTGGGAGTTTGTTTTTCTTTTGTTTTTTTAAAGAATATCATATTCTTGAGACTAGTAACTATTCTATGAGTCAGTACGGTGGTGGTAAGACTTCTGTGCTGATGTCTCCTCAATCTGTGTATATTGAATTTCCATGAGGCAAATTGCTATTCTAAAACCCAACAAAGAAGCCTTCTTTCTCTAAACTGTTGTTTCCTGTTTTTGCTCCTGACTTTGCATTGTATCGTAACGTAGTCTTGACACAACTTGAAAAGGGGTGGAGTGTCAACATAGACAAGAGGGAAAGTGTTAGGCTGGGTTTGGTTTATTATACATGAATGATAGAGTGTGAAAAGTGGTGTTCTTTATATTAGGATTTGATTTAGGAAAAGTCTGTGAAAGAAGAGAAAATAGCGGTGAAGCTGTGTTCTGATTGATTGCTGTATGAGTCCTAGGACTATAACACACAGCAAATCAAGTGGCTCTCAGAAAAATTGAGTCCAGACATACATATGAGAGAAGAATGGAAAGAAATCATAATCTAATTTATGATGTTTGTTTACAGATATTTAGGGCACCAGATATCTTAATCAGAATTGTTTTTCTACTCTTTAACCAATATTTTGTGGGTAGAGATTGAGGAAAACATTGTTGATGTCTGTGGTTCTCATTCACCTTGTATTTGTCAGTTTGTATGATTTTATATTATTGCTTAGTGCTTTGTTAACACATAAAATGCACTTAAATAAACCTGTAATAAAATTCACTTAATGTATTGTTTGTTTGCTTAGGAATCTACAATCATGCCAGGTGACAGTCATCTCTTTCCGGATACTGACTGGCTCATAGGAAACCATTCAGATGAATTAACACCATGGATACCTGTAATTGCAGCTAGGTATCTGCAGAGGGAGCAGAGTGGGAGGGAAGGAATTAAAAACCAAACAAAAACCCAACACACAAAACCTCCCATAATTACCTGTGTGTGCTTGGTGACTACTGTCACTTTTGCAGCCACACCTGCTGTCCTTGCAGGACTCACTGCTTCTGATGCCAGGACTTGCTGTTTTTTATGACAATTGATTATTTTTACAAAATATTTCTCTTCTTGTGGAGAAGCACAGATGTAGTATTTACTTTCTTACAGAATCTATTACAGCATTTTGCTTTTGAAGTTCTAAAAACTGAACTGGTTTTTATTCTTTAAAAGTGAATCTGTTGGTTTGGGAGTTTTTAAATAAATGTGCTGTTGGTTTTGCCTTTCCTTGAACCATTGTGCTTTTCACAACCAGCTGCAACATTTTTCATTTCTAGAGATTTAGTCCTGCAAACCAGGTTGGCACAGTAATTTTCCATAGCAGATAGTTTGTGAAACGGTATTTTTGATTATGCTAATTGATCTACTGAAAGAGGAAAATACAAATATTATTTCATGAAGCTCTGTCACTTAATAAAAATTTCCATTATTGCTTGTATTGGATGGGTTATTTGTTAAATGTGTGTGTTCTCTTAAATAACTTTCTATTCAGCAGTTTATCTTTCTTGTAGGTCTTCCTATTCATGTTGCTACTTTGTGCTGCCATGTTGCTTCTTTGATTTCCATGGAAAATACAGCCGAAGACAAAGCAAGAAAACTCAGTACAGAGAATATCTCGATTTTGTTGCCCAAGTGGGATTTGTATGTGGATTTCATGTGGAAGAAGATTGCCTTAGAATTCCGTCAACAAAAAGGGTAATTTTGGACTATAGGGCTTTTGTCTTTTTTTTTGTCTAGGTTTCTAGTTGTCTGATGCATATGGATGTTTGTTCATTATTATTGTTTGTTTATTATTGTTGTAAGATCAGACTGTAGTCAGTTGCATTACTTGGGACGATGTGCTCTGAAGAGAGACTAAAAATACTCATTGTTTTCTTGGGTAATCTGCTCTTAACATCATAGGTACAATCTTAAAGACAGGAAAGAATGGAAGTTTTAATGGTTATTTCTTATACCACCCTTTAGGGTGCAGATGCCTGTGTTCCTTGTTTGTACTTAATTTTGCTGTTTTTCATGTCCTGTGAAATTCAGTGAAAAGTTCTTGGAGTAGGAAGAGGTGTCCAGCTTTAATTTTGTAAATAGTCTGAGGATGAGGAAAAATCTTTTTGTTCTGTGCTTGTATGGCGTGATGGATTATGGTTAGATTATTAGATTTCTTCTGTGGTGCTAATATTTGAAAACTGAAATTAAAAAAACCTCAGATGTTAATGAGCTTTGAGTTTCAATGGATATCTCCTGTAGGTAGGTTCAGAAGCCTGCATAAGACACGTACAGGTTGGGGGGCTGTGTGTAAGTAAGTATGGAACTCTATAAATAGTGATTTACCTGTTTCTACTAAAATAGGTGTGCCTTATCGGAAAGAATAGGACCTATGCACCTACAGAATGTGCTCTGATTGACAAGCAGATCACACAATATATTAATAATCGTCAGACCTCTGCTGTGGTCACAGTTGGTCTTAATCATAAAGATCATTCTAATGGTGTATGTGAGGAAGCAGGCTCAGAACTCCCTGAAAATGAGGCCGAGACTGCTGGTACAATTTGGATGCCCGGATTTCAACCCAGAGAAAAAGTAGAACAAATCAGAAATTGTGCTTCCCTCCCTCGGGATTTTGTGGATGATGTGGTTCTCAATGTGGCAAACTTGCTGTTAAATGCAGCCCCCCCCAAACCATGTTCTAATACGCATGGTGGAAATACAAATACCTGGAATCAAGGAGGTGAGATCTTCTTTCCTTTACATTATCTTTTTCTGGTAGAGGTTATCTTTTGCAATGAATTTACATATTTGTAAATTTAGTAAGTGAAATAAGTTTTATAAAATGCCAAGAACAGTACAGTAGCAATCAAAGGCTTTTTTCCCCTGCTATGTTTTATTGCACACGGGGATGCAAATAGGGCATATAAGAATGTTTTGAAATTGGTGTGGGTTTTTTTTCCCCTCTAGACTTAAATGCTAGGACAGAATCAATTTTTGTTAAAACAAGCAAATTAAAACAAAACTAGAATTCCTCTCCATTTACCAAAACAGAACACTCTGTGACTATTTGGGGAGAATATTAAATTTCTTTATGGATAGTCACATAATAATTAGCTGTAATTCTGTAAGAAGTGCTTTGAAATGCTATTTGGTTACAACATGATTAGGAACCTTCAGGTTAGACTTCGGAAGAAACAGAAGTTGCTGTTAATTTTATAAGTGTTCTGTTAGTTCTTACTGCTACCATCTTTCCATTTTCCTCCATCCATTTTTATTATTTACTTACTGTAGTTTGTCATATGTGTTACTGTCATAGGAGATCCTTTGAGTTATTCTCTCTTTTCTTGAACTACAAGCATGTGAACAGTGCTTATTGCAATGAGGATTATATGCTACTGTAAAAAAAGCAAAGAAGAAAACAAAAAAATATGTCTTACTGTGGAAATTCTGACTTGAGTCCTGTAGAATGAAAGCTGCTATTTTTACAGACAATATAAATATATATATCATGCATAATATTGAGAGTACAAGGTTGCTGCGGTACTGGTAGATAACTCATAGATTCTTCTCATAATCATTAACTTATATAGAAGTTACATTTTCTTAGGATTTTTTATATATATACATTTTTAATAGCTATGCCATTATTCATTGCAGAAAGCCTTTCCTTGAAAGAAGTAGCAGAACACCTAAATAAAGAGACTTTAAAAAGGCTAAAGAGTGAATATGGAGGCCTGCAGACACTACTAAAGAACAATCATCAAGTATTTGAAGGTAAAGAAGGGGTTTGGGGTTTTGTTTGTTTTTTCTTTAATCTATTTTATCTTCTCTATGTGCAGTTAAACTCAACTGAAAATTACTATGGCGGTGGTTTTTTCAACTGCTTTCTATACTTCTGTGGAAAACTGAATATTCCTTATGTGCCCATTGCTCCAAGATACTGTTAGTAAAACTCTTTTGAGATTGGTAAGGCATCTGTCAACACAGAATTGTTCTACACTGACCATATCTGAAAAGACAATGCTTTAACTAAAGTGGCTAATTTAATGCTATTGTTTGACTTAGAGAATTTTTATTTTTCCTACAAAGTACTGATGATTTTGTGGCTGTCAAATGCAGAGCGGGTTCACTGAAGCATTTAACTGAGATTTAGTCTGGCTTTACCAAGCCCCAAGGTGTAAATACCAACACAAAATGAAACTAGTTTCATTTACCTCTATAAGGCTTGATGTCTTTAGATAGCCTGTGGTAGCATGGAAGAAAGAACTCAGTAGCAAGTTTCTGTGGTTGACTAGTTTTGTTCATAGTGGTGGGTTTTTTGGGGGGGGGTTTGGTGCCTTTGTTTTGTTTTTTCCACTGTTCTAATGTGGTGGTGTGTTTTGTTTGGTTGGTTTTGGGGTTTGTTTTTTTTTTGGTCAGTTTGGAGTTTTGCAAAAGTAAGGTCTAGCTTTGCAGTAATACAGGTTCATCAAGGTTTTAATGGTATTTAAAACTGCTTCAAATTTGGAAGTGTGTTAACTTCTTGTGTCTCAACAATTCTACATCAGCTGTAAAATGTTGATCAACTAATCTATGGCAAATTATCTGAAGTATGCAGCCTAGCTGCTGCCATTGGTTAACGTAGCCAAGTTTAGCATCCACCTAAGGATTTCTGTACCCTTGGCAATTGCAAAATGTGAAGCTATAGCAAAATCCTTTTGAGTTACTATCCATTGAAAGAGTTGGTCACATTGCATTCATTATCTGTCTGAATTTGATTCCCTGTCATTAGGGATAGATCGAGTAGATTTACAACCTGGTATGTGGAATGAGCATTTCAATTTGGCATGGATGCTGTCTGCACATTACCACTGAAGAAAGACTAGGATTAAGGCCAAATCTTTCTCAGTAATTTACTTCATGTGGAAAGTCCCTGGAGCTTCATTAGAGATCTTGTGATTCTTTCCTTCAGTAACATGTCATCATAACAAGGGACTTTAGCCAGCAGGTGGTCTGGAAGGTAATTGTGCCATAGAGGACAGAACATGGCTACAGCTCTTTTTGTTATCTTTACTTGTGTTTTTCTTCTAAAGATGTGGAAACAGATGGGTGCACACACACACAAAATAAAACTAAGGGGCTTAGAGCTAACTGATCTGTGGCAGTTTCTTTTGATCAGGCATCTTGTCCAATACAAGACTGATTTTCTAGAAAAAAAATATGCTTGATCATAAATAGCACTATGTGTGCTCATTTATTTTATTTTTTTTTCACCTTTTGAGAGACATTTTAAAGCTCTACTGAACCCACTTCTGAATTGGCTTTATATGAGATCAGATCTGTTTGTGTACCGCCAGGAAATGTGGAGGGATGAATTCATCAAGGCCAGACGTGTGGTATTAAGCTTTCATTGGACTCATTACCTTTTGAATAGTGATTATCAGAATGCAGAATGGTATCTGTTTACTATGTCAAGCTTCAAATGTGTGATACAGAAGGTATGATTGAAGCAGAATATGAAAATAGAGCATGGCAACTTAGAAGTGGCACATTCTTCCCTCCTCATTTTCACTGTAATTTTTCATCTACATTTTTTTTCTCTCTGACTAAATTCCTTTTATTCTGTTACACATTTAAGGAGTTTTCAGAGGTTTGCAAATGTGTATGTGCAGCAAATGGATTTTTTAGAAGTGTCAAATCTTTATTAACCAACGATGGTTGACTGTTAATTCATATGAAGGATTAGACTTGTCATCTCTTTAGTGTGGTGTATTTTTGGGTCAGTGAACCATTGTCTTTGCAAGAGCATTTTTGTGTAGTGAAAGTAGTAGGAGACTCTTACTAGTTTTTTGCTGGTAATCACATTTTAAACATGGAGTAATAAAGTTTTGAACACAGGAAGGATTTCAGTTCTTGAAGTTGAAACAACTTTGTCAGGACTTGCAATCTAAATTCAGAGGATTTTAGTCTAAGTGATCCTAACTGCTATATATAAAACCAACAAACAAAACTCTACAAAGGTGTCTGAAACTATTGAGCATCACAGTAAAACATCTCACAGGAAAATGAATCAAGTCTTCTTTAGACTGTGTCTATATTATGTCGATTTGTTATGCACTTCTTTCTATTTCTGTACAAATGGCACATTTGGTTTTGCCTGAGTGATCCATTTGTAGAATACATATTTTATTCACAGAATGTCACTATGCATTTTTTCCAGTACAATTCCCATGGCTGTCTATTAACAGCTGCATTTTTTGTTTGTTTTTAAATCTTAGTTCTAAATGGGAGAGTTCATATTCGTGACTGGAGAAAAGAGAAACCATCAAGGAAAACTAAGCCTGAAGTGAAACGACGCCTTTCAGCTGAAGCATTTAAAACACGTCTCTGTTGGTTTTTCATTCATCATCCTGATGGTTGTTCTTTGCCTTCTGAATCTTGCCCATATGCTCATGGGACTGAGGAACTAAGACAGTCTCAGATTATTAAAAAGAAAAAACATACACAGTAATAAAATACTGCCACTTATGTTTAAGCTTGTGTACATAACTGAATCCATGATTGACTTTGGGACTGCCTAGTGCATGAAGATCTGTACAATATGGAGGGGCTTTCCTCATTCCTATGCATCTTATTTTCCAGTTGGTTTTCAAGTTTTGTATTTTTATTTATTTATTTTTTTTAATTAACATGGAAAAGGTATAGTAAAGTATGTGTATACCTTTGGATTTTGGCTTGGCTTGCATAACTTGCATTTGTATAAGTAGAAAAGTTTTAAAACTTAATTTCCTAGGACACTGTTCATGATCCTCGATCAGATCAAATGTACATGATACAGCATTTACAAACCCTGAAAATGAGCTAGCTTGTTCCACATTTTCCAGGAGGATTTATGGTTTCTTATGACTCTCAGTGGCTCTTGCAAGTCAGGAATTGGAGA